CCCCCAACTGTTTACTACAGAACTAATGTAATTTCTATTATTTGCTGTGCCCATAAATCTCCTTTGGGAGGAGCTGTTGATCTAGGCTGGGATTTGAGAAGATTTCCTGAAAGCTAAAAGGAGAGCCATCCCAGGTCATTCTTCTGTGGTAAACGAGGTCACCAGATGGAAAAGGTTGAGAATCTTTGTCTTAAATGATTTTAATGTATCAGCGTTGGAGATAATGTGTTGGCGGATTATTAGTTGTTCTGTGCAGATAATATAATTGAGGGGGTCATGGTGACACGTTGGAGAGAACTCTGGCTTTTGAAGTCAGAACTGTTAATTGTCTCATTTAACGTCATTTGTACAACAGGCTAGAGAACTTCTCCTGGGAATTCACACACCAAGGCTGCCAATCTCAGAATACTCTGTAGGAGGTTTTTCCAAGGGTTTGTAAGCGATTGGATTTTTTTAAAGATAGTCCTGGTGATTACAGGTTTGAGAAGTGGTGTTTTGACCCAGTAACATCTGGTAGAGGGCTCAGGCTCTCGGCTTTGCTCACTCCCTCCCCTAGCTGCAATATTTTCTGTGTTGCTCCCTGCCTCAATCCCTTCTTTGCAATGCATCCTTATGCCACTCATCATCTTCCTGCCACTGTGCTCCTGTAAGATATTTTCCTCCAGAAAATTCATCCCCAGTTTGAAAACTGGTGTCCTAGCTCACCTTGGAGCAATGTGTTTGGGTAGCTGTGTCTTGGGTTTCTCACAGTCTTAATGTGTTTATTGACAGAATCCTGAGTGGTCCTAAGTGCCGTTAACTCCATTTTACAGGTAAAGGACTGAATTTCAGAGTCTTAAGGAGGCTTTGTGGTGGTGCAGGTCAGAAATGCAAGGTGGAGCGAATTCTTCAGATGGACAGCAGCTCTCAAAACTGTGTTACTAAAACAGTGAAGAAAACTAGGTTATGTAGAAACAGGCTTCTTGACAAACTTACGATGTTTTACAGGTGTCTCTATTTTCCCTAGCTAGGCACTTAGCTGCAGCAAGAAGCTGTTACAGAAAGGAAGGAATGTGTTTAATGTTTCTTCAGAAATAACAGCCTCTGGTCCTAGCTGACATTCTCTTAAGATCTTCTGTTCTGTTTCCTTGTTCTGTTTCTTCTCTAAGCAGGGTAAATAGCCTGTTGTTTTACCTTAAGTAAACTATGGCTTGCTAAACATTTATCTGCAACCTAGAGTATATACACATGTGCTTAGCATAATACTCAGTGATCAGAGATAAATAAACCTGTGGTCTGGTGGAAGACTGTTTTAGAAACTGAATGTATAAATCATGCTTTTTTGCAGAGTTGTAAATCATTTATTAGAGATGAGTTTTATAAAAACTAATTAGTCGGCTTTTTATCTGTGGAAGGCATAGTAGAGCACAGTGGGGAAATTTTGGTTTGGATAGCTGTAACTGTTAAAATTGGTCATGCATGATGTGAATCTAGTATAACAGGTTAGTTAATGACTGGTCTTTCTCAAGTGCTGCCCTTGAAGTTCTCTGGTACTGCGCTATTCCTGTAAGATTTGTCAGCCTTACCAGTACTCAGCTCCCTCTTCATATGTGTTAAAGCTGTAATCCTGCATAGGTTTCTAGGAGCACAGCTACCAGGGGGAGCATCCCTGTCCCTCCCTGTGCATCATTGCACTGCGCCAGCACAAGTGTGCATGTGGCTGTGTGATTAACCTTACTTTGGAGCTGCTCTGTCTGGAAAAATAGCCTCACATAAAGCAATACTTACATTTCAGCCTGTTATGTTCTCTGATGTTCTCTTGACCGAAAGGGTGGGACAGGAGCAAGCCATCAACAGAAAGATGGGGGGACAAAGACTGTTTTATTCCTTTGGCTGTAGGTCCAGTTTAAATGCAGATCCACCAGCACCAGGATCTGTGTAGAACTTTGTTATTAACTGAAGGTTAGCTTGCTGGTGCCTGTACAAAAGGCAGCAGAACTTGACTCTTCAGTGACAGCTAAGCCACTTAACTCTTGACTTACGTGCAAATAATACTGCAGCATGAAACAAGGTGTTGCTGGTAACTGTTAAGAAAAACAGCATAGCATAATCCCAAGGCCACTTCTCCCTTCTTCCCTTTTCCTGCCCACCATTTCATATCTATTTCCACATGTTTTAGTAGGATTTTCTTTTCTAAAGCCAAATGAGTACTTTGATCCAGTTGCCAGCACAGACACACAAAACCACTGTGCTAGTGGCAGCGATAGGTCTGCATGCTTGTCAGAGACAGCAACAGGAATATCTGAAGCCAGTGCAGCACTGAGTTTTTTGTACTGCAGAACCATTGCCTTAATTCCAAGAACCATTGCCTTAATTCCAATGATGGCAGCCTTAGTTCCTGAGAACTGAACATTTTAACTGTGAAATGCAAGGGCCTCTCCCTGGATCAGAGTATTAGAAGTATAGTTTAGGCTTAGCATTTCCTTTTCTAACTGTACATTCTCTGTTTCGTGTGTATATATCTTTGGGTTTAGTAAGTGTTTTATGTAAATACAAGTAAAACTTCTGGTGTTTTATTGACAGGTGTTAATGGGAAAAAATGAGTTTGCAGGACACTCGTGTTAAATGTTTTAAAGAAGAGGCTAGTTTCAATCAGTTCTTTAGCTTTGTAGCCTGTCTTGTGCTAGGCTGTATATCAGAAACCCTTAAAGGGAGCAGCATTCCTAATATTTGTTAATAATGTAGCAGCACTTGGTGATCTGACTCCATCAGCTCCTAAAAGAATAGCCCATTATTTTTGAAGTGTGTTTTTCTTTGCTAAGGTGAAAGGTGAGGTCTGGCTTCCTGAGCTCAGAAATCTACCTGTTAAAATGCACCACAGGCTCTGGCTACTTTAAGACGATTGTGTGACTTTGGATAAACCTGGTAGGAGCGATATCAAAACTGAGTTGCAAGTTACACTTTCATCCTGAGACTGATGCTTCTGGCATTGCATAGAGTCATTTAAGCAGCCAACCAAAAGATGGGTATTGCCTCCCGTTGCCCTCATCTTTGCCAGATCCCTTCTGGGGGCACATGGTGCTGCCAGCATCGTCATATTGCTGCATGCAGGAAGGGCAGAGAGAGGCCAAATTCCCCATATCCTAGCGCTGGTGACAGTCAGCCTGGCTCCACAAGTGATTTGCAAATACTCTGCTTAGGCCGTCCCCTCAAAGACTTTTCCTTTCCCTATGTGTTCTCTGGGCAGCAGTAACAAGGCTGATAGGCAGAGTGCTGAGAGTTGCTACGATGGTGATGGTTTCTTTAGGGCACTTGCATTTGATATTAAGGCATGTGCTCTGCTCAGTTGTTAGTTTAGATCTGTTGTGCCTCTGTGTTTTACAGTACTTAAGGGAGTTAGGTGTTATCAGGTGATGACTGAGATAGCAGTGAGATTCCTTGCTTGCTCCTGGGATCTTGTTTTTGCCCTAGATTAAGAATGCCTTCAGGTGAGGACTGAAATACCTAATCTGAATTAACCCCAAATTAAAGTTACTTTCCTTCACTCTAGCAGTGGCTAGTCTATGTCAGGAGGGGAACTGCAGCATTTTTATCTATCACATGCCCTACTGCAAGCAGGAGAGAAACTCAGGCAATTTTATTGCCATTTGAGATCACGATGGAAACAAGAGGAGCTCCCTTATAAGCTAAAGTAAATAGATATGCTTGTTATCACAGTCTGAACAATATTGTTAAACTGTTTTTCTGTTACAGTTCATGATCTACAGAGCTTTGGACTTGATAATGTAAGTGTTCCCAAGACTGTGTTCTAGTTCTCTTTGTCTATTTTCCTTCTGGATTTCCCTCCCTTTGCAACACTGAGATCCTAGTGTACTGATCCCAGACAGCTTTGGTTTTATGAGTCTTGAGCAGAACCTGGGACCTGCTTTCACACAGGACTCTGAAATATGTTCTGGGATATCTGCATATTGCTTGGCAAGCCTGGTCTGCTCTTCCAGAGACTGTCTTGCTCCTTAATCTGTACTTCCCAGTTTTCTAAGGTTGACATTTTCACAATTGCTTCTGGATCTGTTGGGAGTTTATCTTGTGCTGGGAGGAAAGCAAATGATACCCGTATCATTTGCCACTGAGGCAGCTGACCGCATGGTGCAGGGAGAGGAGTGGGTGGGAGAGCCTGCTCTGTAGATGAGAGGGAAGGCCACCAGGATCTGGGGATTTCCAGCAGGAAAAAGAGAAATTCCACATCTTGGAATCTCCCGTGAATAAAAAAAAGAAGAGCAAGTGCTTTGGAGTTTGGTGTTAGGACATGCAGAGTAAGGGAGGACCTGTCTCTGTTCCAGAGCCACACTCAGAAAAATAAACAAATAATTAACTATAGGCCACTTACCTTGCCCCTCAGATGCTGTGCAGTTTTTTGAGTTGTTGTTAGCATTTCCGTTTCAGATCAATATGACACACTACATCAAGCATCTCTCATTTGGAAGGGATTATCCAGGCATTGTGAACCCTCTGGATGGGACGGACGTCACTGCACAGCAAGGTAAAAGCCATCTGAGAGAAACCTCTTTCAGTGCCTGTATTAGTAAGTGTTAGAAGAGAACAGGATCAAAGTTCCCAGTCTTTACGGAGAACCTGGACAGCATTCCGTAAAACGTGGAGTCCTCCACCTTCTGCTCTTTCTGGAACAGCTGCCTCCATTCATCTGCAACAAATCTGCCACCGTGTTTTGATTCTGTGACCTTTCCAAAAGATCTCTCTTCAGTGCTCATGGATGCATAACAGCAAATACAGCACATCATTATTAAATGCCTACATCAGGTGTAGTTCAGGGAGAGGCCTGTCTAGCTACTGTGTGCAGTAGGAGATAACCAGAAGGTGCAGGATAGAGAAAAAAGGCCTAATTGATAGTTGCTGGAGAGCCATGGCGTCTGCCTGACGTTGATCTACCCAACAGGAACAGCTGCACAGCTGCAGTGAAGTTGAGATACATTGCTGATCTTTTCTAGATAGCTCCAATTTGCTGGCTTGAGAAGGAAAGGCAGTTCTCTCCTCATGCTACTGGTGCTCAAACTATAATCTTGGTTTATTCACACAAGCCTGCTTGTGTGCATTTTCCATGAAAGATCCTGACCGTACCACTTTATATACCACTGCAGAAATTAGTTATTTTTTTAGATCCACTGAAGTCTGCAAAGTTTGTCTTTGCAGGTACTTGGGGTACTGTTATATGATGAAGCCTGGAGAAGGAAGTCGTTTGCTTTGAGATGGTGATAGGATTGTTAATCCTACCTGAATCTGTTCTTTTAAGTTTTCCACCATCAATTTTAATTCTTGTATCCAAATCAAAGGATGGTGCTTAAAATGGAATACAGGAAAATGAAGAAGTGTCATAATGCTCAATACGATTTTGATGCCGTAGTTGTTCTGTGGAGTTACAAACTCTCTGAGAGGGACCCTGTAGTTGGCTGGTAAAACTCTCTCTGTAGGCTGAAGCTTTCCATCCTGGGACTCGGAGAACCAGTTGGCAAACTTGAGGAATTAGGACTGAAGACATGCTCTGGAAAAGAAGTGGGAGAAGTAGACTGCAGGTCAAATTTATGTTTATTGCAGCCAGCTGAAGATACTATATATGAGAATTACTTCTTTTGTAGAAATGGATGAATAATCTCGTCTACGGAATTTCACAGACAATAGGTTTTCAAAGCAACTCCTGCCTTCCATTATCCTTAAGAGAACTAAAGGGAGAGGCTAGTCTGAGGCAGCAGCAGAAGTTCTATTTTTTTTCTTCACTGATCCAGATCCTCCTTTTCATCACAAAAAAACATGCTTCTACAGGAATAAGCTGTAGTGTTAACTGAAGTTGATATAGGATGCTCCATTAGAATTGAGTATGTTTTCTTAGGGCATTGCTGTTAAATGTAAAGGTTTTCATGTGCTAGAATAAGAATTCTCAAGAAGTTGTACTGGTAAAACTATAGCAAGATAACTGGTTTGTAGGAAGTTTTCCATTTAGTTAAGGCCAAAATGCCAGTAGTTTTGGTTTTAGTTGGAACAGGAATAAGATTCACTTTGGTAGAAGGAAAACTAATGTCAGACATTAACTTTACTGCCCTTGAAAACATCCAGTAGCTGTTGTGCAGGAACATGTTCCCTGACAAGTTGAACAAAACCAATTTGTGTCTACCTAAGCTGTGAATCAAGCTTTCCAGCTCTTCGCTGGTTATTAATCGTGTCTCTCTGTCTTTGCTTATAGCTTCCATGATGTTTCAGTATTTTGTCAAAGTGGTGCCCACGGTGTATATGAAAGTAGATGGTGAAGTAAGTACCTTTTTTTCCCCCTATTGCTTTGGCAAGTGAAAGCCTTCAGGCTTTCTCCTCATATTCTGACACCGACCATACCTGACCTCTGGTGGAAGCAACACAATCTGTTCAGCTTTCTTCATATAACCACCCCAGAAAGAGTAACAGTTTCTACGGTGTAATGTTATCTGTGATGCTGCAGCAGTGATGAAGCAGACTTCAGCCTCTTCCATCCCACCTAGATCAAAGTGGCCATCCCATTTTCATCATGTCCCCTCATGACTCCCTTGTACAGCATGCTCAGGAGAAGTCAAAGCAGCAAGGAGATCCTAAAAAATGTCTTTGGAGAATAACCCAAGATCAGCTTGTCTTCAATTTAAAAACTCTTTTAGCCTCCAGAAGAGCATGGCTGGATTTCCAGCCCTGCTTTCAGAATATGTCTTTCTTCTGGGACTAGGTAGGGTAAACAAATTACTGAGGAGATACCAGGGTGAGATGAAGATCCAGAGAACAGAGACAAACTTATGCACTCTTGTGAAGCCAGCCTGAGGGAGCAGAAAGAGCTGTGATTTCTTTCATTCATTTGTAAGCTTTTGTTTTGGTGGCTCTCATTCTGTATGGGATCCACCCAAAAGTGCTGAAGGAGCTGGCAGAGGAGCTTGCCAAGCTACTCTCCATCATTTATCAGCAGTCCTGGTTAACAAGGGAGGTCCCAGGTGACTGGAGGTTGGAAAATGTGATGCCCTGCCTACAAGAAGGGCCGGAAGGAGGATCTGGGGAACTACAGACCTGTCAGCCTGACCTCGGTACCAGGGAAGATTATGGAGCAGTTCATCCTGAGTGCGCTCACCAGGCATATGGAGGACAATCAGGGGATCAGGCCCAGCCAGCATGGATTCATGAAAGGCAGATCCTGCCTGACCAACCTGATCTTCTATGCCCAGGTGACCCACCTGGTAGATGAGGCTGCGGATGTTGTCTACCTGGACTTCAGCAAAGCCTTTGACACAGTCTCCCACAGCATTCTCCTAGAGAAGCTGGCAGTTCATGGCCTGGACGGGTATACTCTTCATGGGGTAAAAAACTTCCTGGGTGGCTGAGCCCAGAGAGATGTGGTGGATGGAGTTAAATCCAGTTGGAGGCTGGACACAAGTGGTGTCCCCCAGGGCTCAGTTCTGGGGCCGGTCTTGTTTAATATCTTTATCAATGACCTGGTCGAGGGGATTGAGTGCACCCTCAGTCAGTTTGCAGGTGACACCAAACTGGGTGGGAGTGTTGATCTGCTGGAGGGGAGGAGGGCTCTGCAGAGGGACCTGGACAGGCTAGATGGTTGGGCCAAGGCCAGCTGTATGAGGTTTAACAAGGCCAAGTGCCGGGTCCTGCACTTTGGTCACAACAACCCTATGCAATGGTGTGGGGAAGAGTGGCTGGAAAGCTGCCTGGCAGAAAAAGACCTGGGGGTACTGGCTGACAGCTGGCTGAATATGAGCAAGCAGTGTGCCCAGGTGGCCAAGAAAGCCAACGGCATCCTGGCTTGTATAAGGAATGGGGTGGCCAGCAGGAGCAGGGCAGCGACCATGCCCCTGTCCTGGGCACTGGTGAGGCCACCCCTCGAATGCTGGGTTCAGTTTTGGGCCCCTGACTACAAGAGAGATGTTGCGTTGCTGGAGCATGTCCAGGGGAGAGCAACAAAGCTGGTGAGGGGTCTGGAGCACAAGTCTGATGAGGAGCAGCTGAGCAATCTGGGGTTGTTTAGCCTGGAGAAAAGATGCTGGGGAGTGGCTGGGGGAGCTGGGGTTGTTCAGACTGGAGAAGAGGCTGCCCAGGGAAGGGGTCAAGTCCCCACCCCTGGGAGTATTTAAAAGCCGGGCAGATGAGGTACTTAGGGACAGGGTTTGTTGGTGGGATGGCAGCGTTAGGGGAATGGTTGGGCTTGATGATCTTAAAGGTCTTTTCCAACCTAAACGTTTCTATGATTCTATAATTTCAAGAGCTACGGAGAACCTCTTTTCAAAAAAACAAACCAAAACAAACTTGTCAGTTGTCATTATTTGAGTCCCCCATAGTCTTACAGCAGCAGAATGATGTAAGTTATTACATTTTTTTTGCAAAGAAAACACCAGTAGAGGCAGCAGCTCTACTGTTGTGCAGACTTCACCACCAGTGCTACCCAGTGTACTTATCTAACCCTGTGAGGAAGAGACCAGTGCCACATGCCCCAGTAACTCTGTGAACATTCACGTATAAGAAGGCTTAGCTCCCTAGGTGTCTCCCAGGTTTTGGTTCTGTATCTTATATGCTGCATTGGTGGTCCATGCCCAGCTTCACTTTACCACCAAACCCAAGTGTAGTTCTGGGGCTTGTTCAGTGCAAGGACTGATTTACATGTGGATGAAACTATGCCAGAATTTGACTCCCTTATAACACTGCACAAATCCCATAAGACTGGCAACCCTTACCACCTCAGACGCTTCACCCAAACTCATGCCACTCTGGCACGTACCACATATCCTTGCAATCAAAACAACATACTACTGCACATCCACGCAACCTTCTGTTGCTTTAGGCACTCTGAAATGTAAATCACTGGCAGACTATTAGTTATGTCGGAGGCTGCATAGGAACCACAAATCTGACAAGCCACACGGCCACAGTAGGTACAGTGCAGACATTCAGGCGAAGCTATCCTAGAGCAGTGTGGGCAATCTAACAGAATCCATTGGAAAGGTAGATACAGTTTGTGTTTCTTCATCTGCCCTAAAGATTGAACTTGTTTGCAAGACCCCGTTCTCATGTGATAAATCCTTATATAGACCACTCTCCCTTCAGTCCCCTGCCTAGAAAGGACCCATCTGTTTTTTCCTGGTAGTTGGGTGGAGGTTCCTTGCCATGAGGTGATAGTGGGAGAATCTTCAGACCTTGTTTGAAGCTCATACTGCTTGGATTTGGGATGCCTATGCAGTTTCTGGGAATGATTGAAATTCCTGAAATACAAAGGATAGTTAATTGGAGCCCTATTATGGCCACCTCACAGTGCCATAAGCCATCATGGCTTCTGTTTCTCTTGATGAAATCTCACATTCTACTGTAGAGCTGTTGTTCAGTTTTCAAAAGACTTCTGTCAAAAGAATTGCTTTCTATTAGTCACCATGCAGACCATGATACTTACACTTCTGGTAACTGTGGATCCAAGTGTGCTGCCAGATGTATACCAGGGGCTGTGTTATACATCCAGTACTTGGAACCCCCAAATGTAGAATTTGGTAAAGAAACTGGATAGTATCTTTCTCAGCTTGCATCATAATTTGTGTCAGATAACTTATTAGGGATGACAGAACATAATTTCATTTCATAGAAACCCAATTTATTTGCTCTAACAATAGGACTGGTATGAACAATGAAGAAGAATGGCAGGGCGCAGGAGAACTGCTGCAGGGTGATCTTCATTTATATAAAGATGGGCAATCTGTATCCTGCAGCCCTGGCACTCTCCCCTTCTATGCATTATTTCCTTTTTTTCTCTCTTGAATATATATGGCTTTCTCACATCAGCACTGTCTCCTGAAGCATGCTTAGGTAGACTACATTTTGGTAAAGGATGATGTGGACTTGGGGTTGAGGTTGAGAGGGGAAGCTTATGCCATTGCTTGCCAGCAGAGGCCAAAACCATCCAGCCTGGGGACTCATTCTTTCATCATCATCACTCATTCTTTCGGTTAGCAGGAGGGGAAGGGGGGGGGCGTCTAACTGATAGTCTGTAGTAAAAATAGACCTGATCCTGATGGTGCTCTTTATGATCCTTTGTAACCACTGTCAGGCCCTCAACAGGTGAGCAGGCAGGGCAACATTGATACAGTTCACTGAACTGATGTTTTAGTAGCCTTTCCTAATTCCTCATTAACAAAACACCACTTGCTGTGTTTGTTTTCTGCTAGGTGGTAAGGACTAACCAGTTTTCAGTTACACGACATGAGAAGATAGCCAACGGGCTACTAGGAGACCAGGGTCTGCCTGGTGTATTTGTGCTATATGAACTTTCACCCATGATGGTGAAGCTGACAGAGAAACATAGGTAAGAGACACTAAATCACTTAAATCCACTGATGTCATTTTGCAACACATAAAACTCCTTGCTTAGACACGACAGTGCAAATGCCTGAAAGCCATCCAAGCCCCTTCCCAGTCAGTGGAGAGGAAGAGGCACTCCCAGATGTCCTTCCTCTCAGTGCGAACATCTGAAAGGGATTGGGGGTTTTCTGAAATTACCTGAAGCATTTTAATCCAGTATCAAGATGGAGAAGGAAATTGGTGCAGCGAGCAGAAGTCTGATATAATGATTCTTGGTTCAGACTAATTTCCTCAAAGTCTTTTTTAATGGGAAGACTAGATTTATGTAGCCAGTACCTACAGCAGCACCCACACTGATCCAACCTGATTACTTACTCTGCATTTGCTATAGCTTTTCTGCATGTTGTCAGTGTGGAACCTCCTTCTTTCCGGGTCCTCCATTAATCACAGGCAGGTAATTGCAGGGGAGAGGAGGGGTATGTAGCTGTCTGATCTTTCAGGATCATAATAAGGGACAGCCAATATCTATACCTTAAAATGTATTAACGTGTTTAGGGATTTAGTTTTTGTATTAGAGCAGTCTGCTCTGCATTCTGTCTGGGTAGGAATGGACAAAATCTTAGGGATTAAAAGCCCATCCTTTAGGTTTATAAATTCAGTACTTGCCTCCTAGGGTTGCCATTGCACTCGTTAGAGCACACTGCTACTCAGTGAGAAACTCCATTCTAGAACCAGTAGGTGTTAAATCTGTTAATTATCAGCTATTAATATTTATATAATGCATATTTATGTGCTGATGAACATTATGATAATTATTAGTTTTTATTAGTTAATTGTTACTTATCTGACATTAGCTCATGCTGGTTGTTCAAATTGTTTTCTTCATTCTAGGTCCTTTACGCACTTTCTCACGGGAGTTTGTGCCATCGTTGGAGGCATATTTACAGGTATTGCACCTTGCGATCTTTTTTCTTTCTAAAGTTTAAACGTTTGTCATCTTACCCTTTCTAAAGTCTGCATGGCTGGTAATAAATCCCTGTTTGATGGGGAGAGATTTCAGCCTTCAGGAGGGGATACAGCGTGTTCTGCAGAGCCATGGGAGTGGCATCAGATTGTAATTGGCACTGCAGACTTTGAAGATGCTGTAGATGATGTAGACCTGTTACAATATTTCATTTGATTAAATACTTCATTTCATTATGATGTAGGCCTATCATAATATCATTTTGATGCTCTACAGGACATTTTGTTTTCAAGTAATGCAGTCTTTCACATACCATATGAATGCATCCATATTCTTTTCTTGGTCAGCTTGGGTCAGTAAGCAGATAGTTGCTTTCATGTGGAACCAAAGCCAGTAAAATCTGTCGCCATGGCCGTAGCCATCTCATAGGTCTCAGACTGTGTTCCCAGACATAGGAGCTCCGGTGAGTGCTCTGCAGGGACTGAAAGTAGCCCTCACAGCTAGATGGGGTCCTGTAAGGAGAGGCTGTTCCTGCAGAGCCATTTGTGTCTGGACTTCATTCTCAGTGCTGGCAGATGCAGCAGCAGAGAACGTCCAGAAATATCAAATTCTAAAAGATCAAATTCAAGAATTGATGAATACCAATACTATTAAATGTATAGGATTTCCTTTAGGAGCACGTGGAAAATGATATCAAGGCAATTAGAAGTTATTAAAAGAATTAGGACTCTCCAGTTACCAACCAGAAAAGGTAGCTCATTGTTTATCTAATTGGGCATTGTTTTCTTCAGTGGATATTGTACATATATTTGCTAGTCAAGCACGGACTGTTTTAAGATCTTAATGAATTAATGAATTGTAATTGTATTACTTAGTGAATTGTAAATAAACTGATTCTTTCTATCTAAGGTAGGGAGCTGGACACACCCCCACAGGAGAGTGCCAAAGGCAACACAATCTTAGGTGAAAGGGTGAGCGTGACACAATAGGGTTGCGATAGTATGTAGGGACCATAATGGGCTGGAAGTCATGACATGTCATCTATCCTGCCAGAAGACATTAATTACTGGTCTTTATCTAGATGGACAGGCCACCTTCACTTAACCTGGAAAAGGAACATGTATAATTTTATATATGTTCGATAAGTAGCCCTCACAGCTAGGCGGGGTCCTGTAAGGAGAGGCTGTTCCTGCAGAGCCATTTGAGTGTCTGGACTTCATTCTCAGTGTTGGCTTCCAGAATAGCTGATCAGTATCTGCTCAGCTCCATGCATGTGACAGAGACCAGCCTTGCACTCCAGCTAGTAACCCACGGTGCTCTGAAACACAGTCAGAGATGTTCACATAGCTGTGAAGGGCCAGCCTGGAGATGTGGTCAGCTGATCTTACTGGACCTGAGAAGCCGGCTACTGCATCACGTAACACCTGTATAACATACCTGTATCACATAATACCTTTATCTGCAAGGTTTTCCCATCACCTCAGGTGTCACGATGCTCAGTTAAACTGGTACTGTTAAACAGGATTTAGAATCATAGAATCGTTTAGGTTGGAAAAGACCTTTAAGATCATCAAGCCCAACCATTCCCCTAACGCTGCCATCCCACCAACAAACCCTGTCCCTAAGCACCTTGTCTGCCTAGCTTTTAAATACCCCCAGGGGTGGGGACTCGACCACCTCCCTGGGCAGCCCCTTCCAGTGCCTGACAACCCTTTCTGTGAAGAAATTTTTCCTAATGTCCAACCTAAACCTGCCCTGGTACAACTTGAGGCCATCTCCCCTCATCCTATCGCCCATCACCAGGGAGAGGAGGCCAACGCCCACCTTGCTACAGCCTCCTGTCAGATAGTTGTAGAGAGCGATAAGGTCTCCTCTCAGCCTCCTTTTCTCCAGGCTAAACAACCCCAGATTGCTCAGCTGCTCCTCATCAGACTTGTGCTCCAGACCCCTCACCAGCTTTGTTGCTCTCCCCTGGACATGCTCCAGCAACGCAACATCTCTCTTGTAGTCAGGGGCCCAAAACTGAACCCAGCATTCGAGGGGTGGCCTCACCAGTGCCCAGGACAGGGGCATGGTCGCTGCCCTGCTCCTGCTGGCCACCCCATTCCTTATACAAGCCAGGACGCCGTTGGCTTTCTTGGCCACCTGGGCACACTGCTGGCTCATTCAGCTGGCTGAATTTCTGACTGTAATACATTTGATCGTATTCATTTCTATGGTTGACTCAGGGAACGGCTTTCAAAAATTATTTTCATGACAAATGTTAAGTGCCCTCTAGCACTGATTAGGTCTGACAGCCAGTTCAGTGTTTGCTGCCATACGCCATGTTCAGACTCTATATTCTAAAGGACAGATCAAATCAGCTGTGTAACAGTTTTTGTGTTACAGCATCAAATTGATTCCACAAGTAGAGATAATTTCAGGGCAAAACAACTACAAAAGACAGTCATCTGAAGCGTTACTCAAAGGCCAGATAGTAAGGCAAATAATTCCGTATTCTACAGTAATAGGCAGAAGACTCAGTTCCCGGTTTAGCTTCTACGCTTTATATAGTATTGAAATGTCTGTCTTTGTGTAGGGCCAAGTAATCACTTACTTATTTCTCAGATTGAGGTGTTGAATGAAAGAAAAAAAGAGCATGAAGCTTCATAAAGGCATTGAAGATTCGTTCACTCACTGGTGCCCTGTGTTCCCACCCTGGCAGGAGCTCAGGGTTCCTGGCCTGTGAAAGCTGCCTCAATGGATCCAGGGTTGTCTGGGTTTTGTGGTGCAGTAGACCCATTCTGAGCTTTTCTGTGGTCCCAAACAAGCACTGATATAATAGACTGCTTCAGTGCTGGAGACATTCAGGGAAAATACTGCAGAAAGAACTAAAGGCATCGGTTTGTTTTGCTTTGTGTCCTTAGTGGGTAAACACTGCAGTCTCTGATAAGGGCATCCATAAAGGGCAGCATTGTGGGTGGAGTAACTTACTTTCAAGGTTACTGTGAAATGGGCAAGAAATGGGAAACATGACCTCGGCAAGCTCGGTCAGGGCAGTGACATGGGGTAAAGCTCTCAGCATCAGCTTCCTCTCCAAACAATGCTCGCTCATCAGTAAACACATGTGACTCAGCCTATCTCATTTTTACTTTTGCAAGTGAGATCTTTTTCTGGAGAAGCATGATCACCTCTGCCCTGCAAACTGGATCTTGTCTGTCCTAATGAGATGAGGACCTTTTTCTTCTGAGCAGCAGCAGCTCTTTTCTGTCTGGGGGAGCTGGAATTCCTTTCCACGGACATGAAGTGTTTGTGTTTTCTTTCCCTGGGAGTTGTTCTCTCTTTGAGGCATATCTGGCTTGATCCATCTGTTTTTCCCTTTTAGTTGCAGGATTCATTGACTCCTTGATCTATCACTCAGCATGTGCCATCCAGAAGAAAATTGAACTTGGGAAGACAACATAAATAAGCAACAACCTCACCCCACAAAAAAACCTCTAAGGAGAACTAAACAGTTTTTTTGAAACACAAGTGATCTTCTGAGTGCACAAGAGAAGAGGTTTGGAATTACTAGATGGCCCTCACCGCTCTTACGTTACTGTCCCATCATTCTTTCTTTGGCATTAGTTTGTGGGTGGAACTGCTTGAACCATGCTGCTATAAAGATGAGCCATCTTGTCTGGCTGTGCAGACCCTACTGTAAAAACCCTTTTGTGTCAGACCATATTCATCCAGTTCTGCCCCCTGTCCCTGAAACAGATGCTGGAGATATTGCATTCTGTTTGCCTCCAGGAATAATGTACTGTATTGTCATGAGACCTCGAATGAATTGAATTTGCCATCAAAGGAGCTTTCTAGCAACATGATCTAGCTTTTGAAATTTTTTCTTAAAGATTTTTCTGAGTGTGCTGATGCTATATGCTAGACCTCTGTGAAAATGTGCTGAATCCCATGTGATTGCCTTCCAGCTCTCCCGGGCAATGTGGTGAGACCTAGCACTTGGGATGTGCTTGCTGTACTGTGGGGCATTGCAATTGCTCCAGATTGCTCTTCTTACAAAGATGCAAGTTGATGTTTCAGCAGAAAAAGCATTTGGAGTTTTAATTGATATTTTTAAATTGGATTGTGTTTTTCACTTCCCCCCGTTTGTATTTTGAAATAAAGTCCATCCTCTGTGTGTTTTGGTAAAGCATTTGGAAGAATAATGAAATTATTTGAACTAATCCTGGTACTGAATTGGAAATTATAGTTATAAAACACACCTGCACTGTGGCAAAGTATGCAGATACCATGATGATGGTGGGGGGTTTTTTCTACTCACTTGTGTAGATCATAAAGAAAAGTGCTGGGTATGTGAAATTATATTGGGAGAAATTTGCAAATAATGAGGAAGAATAAAAGATTGTGGATTCCTACCTCATTTTGAGGTAAAACTCTCATTACTCTTTAAATCTCAGCTCTGGGTTTGCTTTGGTATTGACTCTTCCACTGTTGACTTCGTCCAACAGTGCATAATGGGTGTTGACAGGCACAGGATCAGATAATGCAGAGAGAAAGCTATAATTCATAATTCATTTGAAAGTAGTTTGGGGTTTTTTTGGGGGGGGAGGGGGGAGTAATTAGTTGAACTTACCTACAAACCAAGGAGTATAAAAAAAGAAACTGTATTTTTTCAGCTGGGGAGAGAAGCAATTTGAGGTGTGGGTAAGGAGACCGGTTAATTTCCAAGCTAGAATACTGAAAAAAATGGGTTTGTAAAAAAAAAAAAAAAAATACTTGAAACAAGGACATTTAATAAATTCATTGGGTCAGGATCATGTAGTACTATTACAATGTGAGGAAAGGGATGATAGTATCTACATGTTTTATGAAGAACAAAAAGTAGTGACCTGAACAGCTTTAGTCACTTAGCAGAGCTCACAGCTTTGTCACTGAATTGAAACAATAATCAGAAGGGGGAAGAAGAATGGAAATAATGCAGCAAGAGTTTAACCCATAGTTAAAGCATTAACAGTAATCACTTGTCTTTGGTAAGAGAGCCAATTACTTCTAAACCTCAGAAAAGCATCAGAGCATCACACAGAGCACTGCTTAGCACCTAGGGAAGGTGAAGGGGCTGGTAAGTGCAAGACTTGGACTCAGTGTGGGAAACTGGATATAATGGAGAAGACAAACTTCTAGAAGACACACACAGAAATGGAGATTCTCCCTGGAGAGGTAGAAAATCAATGAAGCTAATAGTTAAGTAATACAGGCTAATAGGAACTTAGGAGTAGGAGAGCTCTGGTGATTTTAATAGACTGAAAGACCAAATGACTAATAGCCACAGAAAAGCTGAGTCCAGTTCAAGGATGTTCATGTTTGTGATTGGAAGTAGAAGACATCCTGTTAAACTTGCTCTGGAGTCGAAAACCTTTGGGAAGCTCAGTTTCCAGGGTCTGTGATCTTGTTCTGCAGGGTGAGCCTGAGATAGACTGTGCTGTCTTTTCACAGCAGTAAGGACTCAAAAAGTAAAGCCAATGTTAATGATAGTCGTGTGTGACTTGATTCTGTCATCTTCTGACAGCACACTTGATTTTTTTTTTCCATCCTTACTCTTCTTTGATACAATTTTAAAAATATTTCCTTAGTTACAAAAAGGAAGGAAGATGCCCCTCTCCCCCTGCCCAAAGAACTACAAATCTCTCTCAAAAGCCATCAGTGGGTGGAAGTATCAGTTCTGTCATGTGAACAGCCATGTTTGAGCAGCTGCCATCACCACCACTGCTGTCACCCAACAGCTTCATGGCCACTGCAGGGACACTCACAGCAGCTTATGGGCTCCAGGCCCACTTCCAGGCCCACCATCTCCCCTTCCTCTCTCCCAGAGCCATGCCCACCATGTGTCCAGCCAAATGCAATGTCCCTGGTGCCATGGGAAAGCGTCACCTCCCGGCACCCAGAGTGCCCAGCTCGTGTGACTAGCACAAGCATCACTGAGACCCTGGGGATCCCAGGGCCTGTGAGCCTGGGCACGTGGCAGCACTGCAGGGTAGAAGCAAGCTAAAGGAGCTGAGGCAGCTGCTGGCAGTGCAGGGGCCTGCCAGGTCCTGCAACAATGGCCTGGCTTCAGTTTCTTGGAAATGCATCATTTGTACAATAAAATCCTGCCTTCAGCTGCCAGTCTCTCAATGAGGCTGAATTCAATGTCAGCATCATGGACCCTCGTCCTGCGAAAGGCTCCAGACCAGCGGTTTTTCTCCCAGTAGTGGTGCCAGTTTCCTTCACTGTCTGCTCCAAAGCCAAACACAGACACCTGCGCACACATCAGCAAGAGCCATCATGAGTTCAGTCACCCTGAGAGCATGCAGACAAGAGGTGCAGTGGTGATACAGCGGCAGTGCTCGGTCCCACTGACTAGTACTCACCTGCTGGCAGGCATGCAAGGCAAAGAGCAGGGCTGTGAAGCCAGTGGAGGGGTACCGCCCACGGTGCTGTGTCCAGTTGTCGTGGATGTACTTGAGGAAAGCTGGGCTCAGGATCAGCACCTGAGTGGGGAGTGGTGGAGCCATCAGCTGCTCACCATGCTGTGAACAGAACAGCCAGCCCCACCACTACCAGCACAGCCATCAGCCCTCCTGCTCGCTGGCTCTGCCTGCATCCCACTGAAAAACAAGCCCAGTCTCTGCCCAGAGGAGTCCTGCCTAGGAGGAGGTGGAGCCCAATGAGCCCTTACCTTGTTTCTGTCAGCTTTGATGAACTGTTTGACTCGCACGTATGTGCTGCAAAAGCCAGAGAACAGCAGTGAGAGTGGGGCTGCTGGGGCCTCTCTTTTGGAGGTAGAGGGTGGCTGTGTCCACCAGCACCTGGCCACATGGCACCCCCCAGCCCCTTGAGCTGGCCCAGCGGCGTTCCCTGGACTGGCTCTGTGAAGGGATACATCAAGCACATGGCCCCACAGTGAGGATAAGCCACTATCCCACCCATGGGGGTTATGGGACTGCAGGATGCCTCAGCCCTGCAGCAATGAGTCAGTGCCCACTTCCCCAAATTGCAGTGCAGAGGGATGCCAGGACCCTTGCCCAGGGGCCCTTCATCCCACCACAACTGTGGTGCCAGGCGCCCAGCGAGGCACTGCAGGGTCCCCAGGACTACCCCACATCATCCCTCAAAGCTGACGCACTGCGTGAGCTCTCCAGTGGAGAAGGCACTGGCCACCCACTGCAGGTCCAGTGGTTTGAAGGGGACAAGGACGAGGTGGATGCCAGGCCCGAGGTTCACTGCACTCTCTGGATACATGAAGTGATGGGTTGTTCTCATGCCAACATCCAGCTCAAAGCCAGTGATCTTCGCTCTGTTCATCCTGGGGGACAGTGGGAAGGCATGTCCCAAAATTAAGGTGCACGTTGTGCCAGTCCCAGGCTGCTTGTCCCACCAGGCAGGGACACCAGGTCACCCTGGCCAGCAGCAAAGAGGGGATATGGGCAACACAGGGCCAGTGTGTGCCCCAGGTGGGGTGGCTCCAGGGACCAGAGCCAGCAGCCGTCCCACCCTCACCCCCCTCACCCCCCCCCGCCATTGCAGGGCTTGTGTTGGCAGATTTCACAGGGGGCTGGGGCATGCCAGGGGCCCAGGGAGACAGGGAGGGGCAGGGGGGAACCAAGCCCCTTTGGGTCACCCACCTCAGCACCCAGTCATGGGCATCAATCTGCAACCCGTGGCCAGATCCCTTCAGCCGCCCCGAGTTACCCACCACTGCACAACTCCTGCAGCAAGATGGGTCCCACATGGTCGGGGACGGGAGGACAGTGAAGAGCTGCTGAAATATGGCCTGGAGCTGGATGCCACTTGGGGGACCTTGCAGGGTCTGGGGGAGCAAGGGCAGCAACAGGCAGCATCAGAACACACACCCCCCCTTGCAAGTAGCCCCAAAGGAGGATGGAGCCCTGCTCCTCCCCAGCAGAGCACAGAAAAACCCAGTGGGGTATTAGGAAAAGGGTGCCAGACAGCTCAAAGAGGTGTGGAGGGGTGGTGAGCTGGGGCCCATGCACCCCCTTCATCCCCAATTGCATCTGTCTGACTTGACCTTGGCCCTGCCCCACTGCAAACATATTCATGGAGCCTGGGAAGAGCCCCGAGCTCCTGCCCATGCCCCCACTCACCAGCCACCACTGAATCACATCAGAGGAAAGCTCGTGGGCTGCACCAGTCAGCAGAGGTCCCATGGCCATATTGTAGCGGGTGTTGAACCATGTGGAGCTGTTGGCCCAGGTGGTGCAGCAGGCAGCAGGGGCGTCGAGGAGGGAGGGAGCCCAAGGGAAGGGGTGGAGGCCATCCATGGGGGCTCGGAAACATTGCCACAGGACCAGCAGCAGGCACAGGGCCAGGACCACCTGCGTGCGCCTATGGCACAGCATCCCTCATACCACCTGGAGCGAGATGTCACAGGGACCAGTGGCACTGGCACCACAGGACCCCTTCCCACCCAGCCTCCCTGCCCAGCTTCTGGGGACACCCCCCCCCTTAGCTGCTCACAAACCCTGCAAGGACCTGAAATAGCCTGGGACGCGTTTCCTTTTCAAACCGTTCAATGGCTTTATTGCTGTCCTGCTTCTGGCACCGCAGCAGTCACTGAGCTCCGGG